TCAGTGCCAGGCCGCAGCCGGGCCCACAGCCCACCAGCCGGCAGATGCACGGGCAACCCCAGCCCGGCCGCGCCGCCTCTCAGCACCCAGCGTGCTGCCCAGACGCCGACCCCCCGCAGACTCGCTGCCCACTCACTGCAGACGCTCTCCCACATCTCCACTTGGGCTTGGGCACAGCCAGCAGCCCCTGCGGATGGATGTTTTGGGAAACGAAGCGGCCCAAAGTCACCCAAGGTCACGGCTGTGCCTCTGAGCCCCGGCAGCACGTCAGGACGGCGGCAGTGGTCACAGCTCTCCAGCTACCCTGCCGTAACGGTGGCTGGAACCCCCCTCAAGCCCACAGCACTCGGGTGACAGACGCTGCTGCAGGCTCCGAGCAGAAGCGTGCTGAGGAGAGCAGCCTTCGCTCCCCGGCTTCCACGCGTCGAGGGTTAGGAGTCCCGGGCTCCGTGCAGCCTCAGGCAGGCTGCATGACTGCTCTTCCCCAGTTCCAGAAAGATGAGGAGCTACTGGAGAGAGTCCAGCGGAGGGCTACGAGGATGAGGAGGGGACTGGAGCATCTCTCCTACGAGGAGAGGCTGAGGGAGCTGGGCTTGTTCAGCCTGGAGAAGAGAAGGCTGAGAGGGGACCTTAGAAATGCCTCTAAATATCTGCAGGGTGGGTGTCAGGAGGACGGGGCCAGACTCTTTCCAGTGGTGCCCAGTGACAGGACAAGGGGCAATGGGCACAAACTGAAGCAGAGGAAGCTCCAGCTGAACCCGAGGAAGAACTTCTTCCCTCTGAGGGTGACGGAGCCCTGGCCCAGGCTGCCCAGGGAGGCTGTGGAGTCTCCTTCTCTGGAGATATTCCAGCCCCGCCTGGCCGCGGTGCTGTGCAGCCTGCTCTGGGTGACCCTGCTTGGGCAGGGGGTTGGGCTGGGGGACCCACAGAGGGCCCTTCCAACCCCGACCATTCTGGGATTCTATGATTCTTCTTGGGGGACCTCTCAATAGGCTTCATGTTACCATGCTATGACCACGTAAGTGACGCTGCCCCGGACACCCCAAGCCCACCGCAACCGGCGTGTCCCAAGAGCGCTGGCCCTACCGTGCTGTCCTGCAGGTATCTCTGCCATATGTCGACGGTCAGTCCCGAGCTGGCGTTGCAGGGCACGTCCGGAGACACGATGTTGTGGTTCACCAGCGCAGACAGGTGGGTGCGCACCGTGGAGAGGTGTCTGCAATAGGCCAGCCCTGCATCAGGCAGAAGCAAACATTGAGCCGGGGAACTCGGGAGGGCCATGAGCATGCAGTGCAGGAGAGAGCTCCGATGAACCTGGTCCCTGAAGGAGACCCCCTGAAGCCACATCCAGCCTACGCAGCAAAGCAGGGAGTCTCCTGGGAAAGGTCACTGTCTCAGCATCTCGTACCACCAGCGCTGCTGCCCGCTGGGCTGGGGTCTGAGGGCCGGAGTTCAACTGTTTGCTCCCAATCCTGAGCGTGGGCACACAAGGCCCTGCATGCGACAGACTGCTCCCAGTGCCCTTGGCCACTGCCCCGCTGCCTCAGCCCGGAGCCCCGGACCTTCTCCCCTGCCCATCGCACATCTCAAGGCATCGTGGATGTCACAAGTACTCACAGCCGTAGAAGGCTCGGGAGAGGATCTGGTACTTCATGTTGTCACACAGGAGCTTCAGCGGAGCTCTGCCAAGAAAAACACATCGGGTGTGAGGAGAAGAAATGCCCCCACGCACTCCTTCAGCCCCTGCTCCGATCTGACTGGTCCAGCTGGGCCTTCAGAGGTGCACCACGGGACCTCTGCTCAGCCCGAGCGCGGCGATTCTTGCTGCCAGCACAGAGCAGCTGAGACATCCCGGACGAGGGGACAAGCCTCCCCCCAGCCTGGACACAGCCCACTGGCCCCTGCAAAGGGTCCCTGGACAACCAAGCCGAGTGTGAGGCTGGAGACACCACTCGCACCATGATTCCTCTAGTCCAGCCACCCAGCTGGGCTCTGACCTGTAGCTCTCGCTTCATTTTACCTCTGTTTCTCAAACTACGCAGCAGCGGAGCCGTCGTACCTCTCATGGCTGCAGCCATTGGGCGGGCCACAGAC